CTTTCTCTTTTTTCTACAAATACTTAAATGGGCACTGCTCTAAAGAGCTAGGGTCTCTCGTGCCATCTACTGAAATGCGCTCTCGTGTTACTTGTCATTCGATTAAGTCTCATTCTTTTTCTGTGATTGTTTCTGAGTGCTCGAAAAACTCTTATTCCTCTAGTTTTTTTCCTCGAACATCAGTTCTTTGGAATTCTCTTTCTTCATCTTGCTTTCCTGATTCATATAATTTGCAATCTTTTAAGTTGTCTGTCAATTGTTATCTTGCTCTACAATCTTTATCTTTTTTCTTCCAGTAACTTCCAACTCTAATTAGTGGTTGTTTGCAGCCTTGTTGGAAGCAAAGATGTTTAAAAAAAAACAACTTAATATAACAACTGGTTGAAGTGTACAAGTCTAAATATTATTTTGATCAACTCTTCTTAAATTTAAGGTTTCATGTTTTTAATTTAATGTTTTACAAAGTTTTATTAATGATTCAACTTAATTTTAGAGGTTAATTAATGTATTAAAATACTTTAGTTAAATTATCATTAAATTAATCATTTTTAAGTATTTGATAAGTGCTTAAAAAGTGTTCAATTGCGTTTGCGTTTTTTTCTATTCAATCCCGGGATTTTCCGGGGACAAATTTCTCAATCCTGAAATCCCGTGATTAATTCCAGGATTTTTGCCATCTCTTATCCCTTATAATTTAATGAAATATTATTTAGATAATAAAAATTACAAATTGAAAGATTTGAAAATAAAATTGGCTTATTTATGGCCAATGGCATGGGTTTCGAAGTGGTGGTCCACAACCTTCTATTTTTAAAAAAGTCCTCTATATCTAGAATTTATCTTTAAAAACAAAAAAGGGCCTTTAGAAAAAAAATAAGGGGAAGGGGAGGGGTTATTTGAAATATCTCTTAAATTTAATGTTCGTCATTAAATAAAGAAACAAATGTCAACGTTTATTAAATAAAGTGATTTGTTGCGCCCTGTTAAGTATAATTACAACATTTATGTTTAATAAATAAGTTACATTGTCTATGGGTTATTTTAAGCAGATCTTGATAAAACTTTTATTAAGTTATTTTAATCATTAATTTTAAAAGTTAAAAAGAATATGGAAAAGAAAAAAAACTCTCTGAAAAAGTTTATATTTCGTTTTTTCATTTTCATCATATAAATTAAAATAGCAAACTAAAGATCAAAAGTTCATTCATTCAAAAATTAAATTTGCGCGATAGTTATTATTTTTTTTCATTTATTATCAAAAGCAGTTTACTCTTAATTGCCAAAAACAAAAGTTAACCTTACTCTGAGAGGATATTTTAAAATCTTTCTATCTTTCGAAAAAGCAAATTTTTTATACATTTCATTGTTATAAAATTTTGCAACAAGTTTTTAAAATAAAGTTTTATAACAATATTCATTTTTTTAAAACTAATGTTCAGTTAGTAACCGAAAGATAGTTGCGTCATTACATAAAAAGCAATTTCTTTTTAATTCATTTTATTGACCTAGAAGAATAAATGAGGTAGCTAAAATAAATTACTGCATTTAAACTACTGCATTTAAAACTGAGATTATTATTATAATTTTTTTTTTCTATAAAAAGGCAAAACAAAAAGTCAAAATTATTTTTGGGCGCTCTTTTTTATGTGCCCATACTGCTCCAGCGGTACTAAAACAGGTCTGGGTTTGCCCTGCTCTATAAGTCTCTTATTTGTATGGAATACTGTTGTCATAGTTGGTCTGGTTATTCTAATAAAAACTTCTCTTTGTCTAAAAATGCATTGTAAATGCGCTCTATCTCATTGTTGTATTATTTTTTGGATCTCTTTTTCTTTTCTGCGAGTACTACTACCATCACTGCTACTTAAGCAAGGTTTCATTAAAACTTAATCTCTCATGGTTTGTTATTCAGCAAAGTTGTATCCTTTTACTGTAATTGTTCTTTCATGCTCAAAAACTTTTGCTTTGTTTTTTTTTTAAATATCAGCGTTTAAAAAATTTCTCTTATTTTTATGTTTTCCTGACTCATACAATTTACATTTTTTAAGTATTTTGACAACTGTTTTCTTCTTCGGTTCTTTTTTTGTTTTTTGTTAACTTCCAACTTTAACTTTTAACGCTTGCTTTCAGCCTTGTTCGGAGTGAATATGTTTTTTTTTTAAAAAGTGTTAGTGAAAAAAAAATAAAAAATAAAAAAACTTTTACAATGAGTTTTTGGACTATGTTCAAATGATAATGGACATCATCAGAAGATCCAGCCAAATAATAACATCAGTAAACCATACAAAGGTGGATTGAAGATTTATAAAGGTAGAAAATGGAATCAAAATTAAGAAAAATTTTAAATGATGTATTATAGCAATCTTATGATAACTTTGTAATGAATTAAATATTTTCATCAGAGGTTAGTAGCTAAAAATAATCTGAGAAGATCCAAAAGACGTAAAATAGAGGAAAATAAGAGTGTTGTGGTTTATATATATAGTAGTAATTACTAATAGATTACAATAAATATTCCCTGAAAACAATTGAGTTTTGTTTGGATTAAAGTTCACCAAGAGGAGAGATTAAATTCATGGTCAGCTGTTTGTTTAAAGTGAATAAATTGTTGTATCATCAACAAATATAACTTTTATATATTTTTTAAATCTTTTTCAATTTTTCATTAAATAGTTTTAGTAATTGTTCTTTAATTTCTTCAAATTAAGTTAAAATAGAAATTTAAAATTAAAAAATTATTGGAAGAATTTTTTTTTTTAATAAAATACAGTCATACATAATATATGTAATAAAGAGTCTATTTTTTATTTTTTATGTAGAAATGTTTTTGAGATAAGAACAATTCTCTTCAAATGTTTCTTTAAAATTCAAAACAAATGTATTGTTTAATAAAATGAGCAAAAATTAGCTAATTAACAACTTAATTTAATTAAAATAGCTAATTAAAGACTTATTTTAAGTTGAAATTTTAGAAAGAAAAAAAATAATATTCAAAAAAATTAGATATTTTAAAAAAATTAAAAAAATAAAGTTTCTTTTTTTTTTCTTTTTTTCTTTTGGGACTTAAATATAAATAATTTTATTTGCATTATTTAATTTAAAATAGAAATATTTGGATTTTTTAATAGAAAAACTCAAATTAAATATATATGTAGTCGAATTTATATTTAGAAATCTAGAATTAATTCATTTGTATTTGATTAAATATAGTTGATGTTTGTGGTATCCTAGAGTGATTTTAATGCTGCTTTCAGAAAAAAAAAATTTTAATTACTTTGAGTTTTCCTTATACACCATGTTTAAAAGTTTATTCATTAATACAAATAAAAATTTTCAAAATATCTCCAGAATTTAATTTTTAAGTTAAATTACAAAATTTAGTTACCTGATAATTGTGGGCTTAGGTGTTTTGCATTAATTTTTTGTAATGGTTGAAAGATGTTTGTTTGAAAGAGTTGTTTTGGTGAAAAAAGAAATGATTAAAAATAGAAACAGCTGGTAAAGAAATAAATAACAAAAGTTTGAAGTACATTCTACAATTTTTACATTTATTTTACTGTAAAGTTTTATTTGTTGCACATTTCCAGAAAAATGTATACATATGTATGTATATATTATATATGTTATATGTATACATATGTAGATATTAAATTGGTATGTTATATGTGTATGATATGTGTTTTGGCGTTGGAACTCATATTTTTTTTTATCAATTATATAATAAATATCATATGTATTCATATTATCAATAAGGCTGTTATATCTTTCTATACGTTTTATTGAGTCTTTGGAGAGTAGCTTGTATGTGTTTTGTTAAGTTTTGGAAGAGTAGCTTGAATATGTTTTTTTTTGATCTTCAGTGAGTAGCTTGTACGTATTTTTATCTGAGAAAAGTTGAAAGATTTTTTTTTATCAATAAAAATACTATTTATTTTACAATGTATGTTAATAAGAGTTACATACAGTTAAATAATAAAATTAGCTAAGAAGTAAAACTGTTTTTCTTAATACTTAATACAGCGTATTAAGTATTAAGAGCGTTTTTCTTAATACTTAATACAGAAGCGTATTAAGTATTAACAGCGTTTTTCTTAATACTTAATACAGAAGTAAAACTGTTTTTCTTAATACTTAATACATTTCTTAATACAGCGAGAATCTAATTTTGTGTTTGATTAATATTGTAAATAGCTTAAGTATTACATTTTCTTGTTGTTATTTTTTACAAAACAAAAAAAAAATCATTTTTTTTCAGTCAGTGATACAATGCAGTTCTCCCACAATTTTATTTTTACAGTCAGTGATACAATGCAGTTCTCCCACAATTTTATTTTTACAGTCAGTGATACAATGCAATTCTCCCACAATTTTATTTTTACAGTCAGTGATACAATGCAGTTCTCCCACAATTTTATTTTTACAGTCAGTGATACAATGCAATTCTCCCACAATTTTATTTTTACAGTCAGTGATACAATGCAATTCTCCCACAATTTTATTTTTACAGTCAGTGATACAATGCAATTCTCCCACAATTTTATTTTTACAGTCAGTGATACAATGCAATTCTCCCACAATTTTATTTTTACAGTCAGTGATACAATGCAATTCTCCCACAATTTTATTTTTACAGTCAGTGATACAATGCAATTCTCCCACAATTTTATTTTTACAGTCAGTGATACAATGCAGTTCTCCCACAATTTTATTTTTACAGTCAGTGATACAATGCAGTTCTTCCACAATTTTATTTTTACAATTATTTTTACAATTTTGGATTCAACTTCATTTTTACTTTAATACTTTAGAAATTTTTTTTGTTACACATATTTTTTGCTTTTTTTTTTTGTAGTTGTTTTTTGTATGTATTACTTTAAAATCCAATAACAAGTAAACTTTGCTTTTTATTACATGATGAGCAAAAAGTTGTTTTCAACATTTTTTTTTTTGCTAAAAACTTTATATGATTGTGATTTCATTTAAAAATAATTTTTTTTTAGAATGTTGCTGATATAAAGAAGTTAAAATCAGTTGGAATATGTACTGTAAAGGTAAATTGTATATGAATGTTATGATTTAATATTTAATAAATTATATAAATATTAGATGCTACAATAAATAAGAAAATATGTCAGTTGTAGTAATGCTTTTTTGTGAGTTTTTTTACACAAAACCACACATAAAATAAGTATAAAGTCTAGGTTAGCAAAAATCTGCGTTAAAATATAACCCAAAGTTGTGTTATTTTGGGTTTTATTTTATATTTGTTTAAATTTTTTATTTATTTTTAATATTGAAAATTAATATAATATTCTACTAGTATGAAATAAATTTTGTATAATGTTATTTAATAATTTATAACAAGAACTTTTTTACAAATTCAAAAAGATTTTTAAAAATAATTATAAATTGTATTAAAAAAAATAATTTAAAATGGCGTGCCATTAGCGTGGCATCAAATTGTTCGAATATCAATCCCACTATTGTTTTTAAGAAATTTTTTTGTTTCTGTGCGATGTTTTACCGTATATCAATCCCAAAAATGCCTTATGTTTCTGAAAAAAAATTCTATTTTTAGAACAGATGGTAGGTCATTGTTTAAGGAAAAAAATTAAATAAAGTTGTTTAAGAAAAAAAAAAAAATTTAAATTGTTTAAGATAAAAAATAATAATTTAAAATTGTATAAGAAAAAAAATATATATGTATTGATTTATTTTAAGTTATAAAATAATATTTTTTATAATTAATTTTTAATTATAAAAAATATTATTTTATGGAAAGCAGGAGAATGAAAGCTGGAAAATAAAAAGAAGTAACTGCAGTTAATAAGAGTACAAAGGTTTCTTGTGACTATTGTCATACTTTGCTTTGCGACAAGATAGATTAAGTAAAAACCCATTTAAAACATGACAAACATTTAAAACAAGAAACATATAGAAGGCAGGGTTTAAAAAGAGAAAGGCATTAAAAGGGACAGGCATTAAAAAACTCAGTAAAACTTTGGGTTTTGAGATATTTTACAATTTTATGAATTATTACAACCAACATTTCTGAAAAAATAAGCATGTTATAGTAGGTAGCTATAAAGGTAAAGTTTCAATTTAAATGCAATATTAATTTTGATACAAAAATTTTTTTTCACAAATATCTTTTTGGAAGCCAAATAAATTAAAAGATTTATTCTATAAGAATTTTAGAATAAATACACTTTTATAAGAATAATTACATTTTTGACATTTTTTTTACAAAATTATAAATGGGTTTTTGATAGTTTCTATATATTTGTCAACCCTCGGAATTAGGGTCGGCAATGCTGACCTAACTGCCAACCATAAAGTGTTTGTGGTTGGCAAATAATTGCCGACCTTGTTTCTATGTTTTATCGTGAGACCTTTGTATCAAATTGTTTTGCCGACCTGATGCTGTCCTCTAAAAGATTGAGGTTGCCAAATGATTGCCGACGCTGTGGTTCCTAATTCCAAGGGTTGATTTGTACAAGCTTTTTTGCCTTTTCACTTCCTAATTTATTTTATCTTTTTTAACTTTTTACCAGATAAAACTAAACAAAATGTTCTTTCTATTGATCCTGAGCTAGCAGGGCATCTTTGAAGTTTCTCTGGTTAATGATAGACCACTAATCACTGCACAATATGTCCATAAAATTTGATCGCTTAACATCCTTGTAGGAAAACACATTTTCAATCATCAAGTTTTAACTTTGACCAAAAAAGTTACTATTATTATTAATTAATCCTATATTTGATTATTATTTTTCCTTTTTACCTATAAAGTCTTATTTTGTAATAAAAAACTTAAATTTAAAAAAATTAAATACTTGATGTAAAACAGCACCAAATATTTTGAGTTGGGTTTGAAAACTTCTTAGCTTCATTAGATATTGCTTGATATTCTGATTTTGATAGCTATATCATGACTATGTACAATTTCTACAATTGGTTTTTTATGTAAATCAATTTGGGAGTTGTAAACGTTTCTTTTGGTAGCTGAGGCATATGCTCTCCTCTCTCTAACTATACTACTATTCCTTAAAAAAAATTTAATAGCAAATCTTATACTTTTATATAATTATTAATTTTAGATAATTCACTATTACAAAATAATATTTACCCTTGGTTGATGTGTATTGCAAAAATATTTCTGTACTTCAACTATGTGTTTGATTTAGATAATGTGCAGAACACATATTTAAAGGATTTGGATATGTTTCTCTGATTAAATCCCTCTTTTTTTACTACAGCAAGTACTTCTTTGTTGTATGTTTCTTCAAAAGAGTTTAATGACATTACAAAGGAGTTTACTAAAGTTTTTTTATTTGATGCACAATAAGTTATGCATAAAAGTTTAGACTTAAGTCTGTGAGCAATAATTGGATTTTTGTAACACTACTCCATCCATCTTGTGTACTTGTTATTGTTTATCCTTCTTGGGTGAGTTGTTTTTGCATTATTTTGTTGTTTACTTTAATTGTAAACTTTTTCTAAGAGCTCCTCCAAGTGTTTTATAGTTAGGTGGATTATATCCAAGTCATAATAAATTGATCATGTCTATAAATTTTTGATTTTCAGAACCTTCAATACATTTGTACTGAAGAAAAATTTTGATATTTTTATATCAATATTATCTTTCAATTCCATATTAGTTAATATTGTGTATGATAACAGCTGTTGCTTCTTACAAGGTGTTGGCAAACTTATTAATTTATATAACTAACAGTTGCCAAAGAACTTGTTCCAATTCGAAATTTGGTCCAGCTATCAGAGCAAATGTTCTAATATTTAAACCATTATTTGGAAATAGATGATTAAAATTTATATTATTAATTATTTTGACAGATTGAGATTGCCACCTTCTGTATGCTTGTGTAAAAACACAAATTCTTTTGTCAGTGTTTTAAATGGGGCTTTACTTGTTCTATCTTGTTGCTAAGCAAAGCATGACAATTGTCACGAAAAACCTTTGTATAGTTTTTTTATTCAGTTACTTCCTCCCATTTTCCAGCCTTCCTTCTCCCACTTCCCATTGTTAAATATAAAAAAAATTATTTTATATGCATGTATGTATATATGCAGAGTAGTTAACAAGGCTAAAAGTATAAAGACCAAGGCCACCGGTTACAAAGCCATGGCCAAGAGTTTAAGGTCAAGGCCAAGATTAAGAGTTTCAAGGCCAAGACCTAAGCAAACATTTTCAAGACCAAAGACTTCAGCTTTTGCCTTACATTAAGGCCAATTATTAACACAATTGTAAGTAGCAAGTGCTGTGATAATAAAACCACATTCTGTAAAAATAGACCATGTTTATAGGCAAAATTTAACAAAATCAGTAAGAAAATATGTATTTTTTTTAGGCCAAGGCCAAACCAATCAAGGCCAAGGCCAATTTTTCAATCCAAGACAAAGAGTTACAAGGCCAAAGCCTTGAAACTGTTTTTTGCCTTATGGCAAGGCTAATGACTAACAACTCTGTATGTATGTATGTTTTTTTTTTTTAATTTTTTTTAATTCACCTCCCCAAGGCCAAGAAGGCCACTACAGACATGGAGGCTACTTAATTTTATTTTTTTTTTAACCCTCTTTCAACTCCATAACTCCAAAACATGTGCCTTGACGAACAAGGTTGTGCAGCGGCCTAGGCGAACAAGGCTGCTGTGCAGAGAAACAAGTTGAGCGCGGTTCTACCAGGGATGTGGTAGAGATCGAACTCAGTACCTCTTATTTATGAAGCGGGTACTCTACCACTACACCACCACCCTGTGTATGTTTGGTAATATTCCTAAAAACATTTTAGGAATATTACCATTTTTGTGAGAATTACTAGTTCTGAAAAACTGACTTTTGGTTTAGTTAGATTAAAATTGACAAGTTGTTGCAAGTCCAAAGCTGTCTTAAAAGAAAGATTTTTTATCTAATTTTTTATCTAAGAACAAATAACCAGTTTGGTTCTTGTGGTAAAAAATGAATAACTTCTTTCTAGGCTGGAGGAAAAGGTTTTGCATTGTCATCAGCAAATAAAAGCATTTTAAATGCTTTTATTTGCTGATGACAATGCATTACATACACATTAAGTGTATGTAAATGGTGCATTTACATACACTTAATGTGTATGTAAATGCACCATTTACATACACATTAAGCCTTTTTAACATAAGCATTAAACCATTTGATGTAAGCCACTTTTTGTATTTTTTTGATATTTAGATAAATTTAAAGATATCGTTTATGCAATAAAATTAAAGTAATTAAATTTATAAAAACCACTTCTGAAGTTTAACGATTACATAAAAAAGTATGACAGTTACATTTGATATTCTCGCTATTTACAAATGTAATAAGTTAAGAAAAAATTTATTTTGCGTAAAATAATAGTTTAGAAAAATAATATTTTGTATATAGCTTTATTTAATTGACAGAGTTTGCGATATCAAAAAAGAGAAAACAGAAATTTACTTATAATTTAGAACGAATTTTGATTAAAAAAATTTGTTTAAGTAAAAATTGATTATTGTTTTTCTTGGTTTTTCTTCTTCCTTTTTTATTTTTTACAAAAAATTAAATTCCTTGTAAACTTATATATAAATTAAAAACTTATATATAAATAATAAAAAAACTTATATATAAATTAAATTCCTTATAACACTACATCAAAAATAAACCGTGCGTTTAACTTTTTTGTCATAAAGCGAGTGAAAGCGCAACAATATATATTTTTTCATAAATGACACTTAAAAACTTTATTCTTTGTTTCTCTCAAAAAAAAGTGCTGGTAAAGTAATTAACTTGAGTTTTTAATTTTGCAACAATATTTTTTGTTTGTAAAAAAACTTTTTAAAAGTAAAAGATCATTATTATTTGCTAAGTTTTAAGAAATAATGAAAAAAAACAAACATATTTAAATTAATTTTTAAATTAGGGTCATGTCTTCCCCTACTGTGAAGAAGCCCATCAGGCCCCTACTGTAATTTCTGAAAAAATAAGTATATTATTCAAGTTTTTTTTTTTTATATATTTTTTTAGTATTGTTATATACAAA